TCTCAAAAAAAAAAAAAAAAAAAAGTAATATGCTCATTAATTCAGTTGTTCCTGCAACAAAAATTTATTGAGCATTGTGCCTGCTGCTATAAATATGACCTTGGACAAGACGAAGGAAATGAACGGAGACCCTGGTCAGATAGGGTGGTCTGTGGAGGCCAGCTGGGGAGGTGATCCAGTCTAGGACCTAAAGAACAAGCAGAGCTGTCCATTTGAGCAGTTGGAGGTGACCGTGTGCATGGTAGGGACTTTTAGGTGTGGGAGAAAAGCATGTGTAAAAATGACCAATATTGATGCAGTGCCTACTGGGTGCCAGGTAGGAATGGCCATCACTCTGTGGGCCAACACATGGTGTCTGTGTTCATCGGGCCTGGAGGACAAGGATCTGTGGCATGTCTGTGTACCCCCTTGACTGGCAGACCCTGGGGAGCAGGAGCCATGCTTGCCCCATCTGCCCCCCTCCCTGGGGTCCTAGGCCTCAGGATGCTAAATAAATCCCCTCTTTCCCACTGCAGGCATCACCCAAGAAAAAATCAACGAGATGCGGGCAGCCCCAGAGCAGCAGATGATCTCAGACATCCATTGCATGATTGCAGCGGGCCAGGACCTAGACTGGATAGACGCCCAGGGTGCCACGCTGGTGAGGAGATGGGCCAGGCTGGTTTGGCCAGTACCAGAACCAAGCGCAAGTAGGGCCTAAGTGAGCCAGCACCTGGTGGGGGCCACATCTGTACAGTTGGGGCCTGTCTAGGGCCTTGGACTTCCTCCAGATCCCTGTCGGGCCAGGGTGGCCCCTGGAATATGGAGGGTTAGCAGAGCAGACTCAGCCTCTTAGAGAACCTGGCCACTGTCAAGCCTGTTCACCACCTGCTCCCTCTCCAAGATCCTCCTTCATCCCAGGCTCAAGGGGTCCAACCGGAGCTCATCATTTCCCCTTCTGTAATGATGTTCCCCCTCAAGGACTGGTGCCGCCACTCACCCACCCACCCGTGCCATCCTGTGTTGCACTGTCCATTCCCCTGCCTTATGTCTCCTCCACCGCACTGCCTGGCCTCATCAGTCCTGCCATTGCTGCACCGGCCTCTCCTCCGGGTTCCCTGACTTCAGGGTCCGGACACCCCCAATCATCCATCCAGTTGACACACAGTTACGAGCACCTCCTCTGTGCCATGTGCTTTACTAAAGCCTAGAGATAGAGAACAATGAAATCTTCTCTCTCAAATCTGCCTGGTTGATACCACCCGTCCTTGCAGCTCAAATGTCTGTGACTTGGGAAACCTCTCTGGCTTGCCCTCAGAGGCTGTCTCTCATAGCACACTGCAGCCCAGTACTGGGAGGTTCTACTTCTGCAGCTTCTAAACCGAAAGCGAGTATGGTGTGGAAGCTCACTGCCCGACGGCTAGGCTCTGTCCTGGGCTCAGGCTCCGTGCCTGCCTTGGGTGCTCAGGGGTCTCAGAATCGTGAGCTCACCAGATAGGACTCAGCAGTATCAAGCCCCCCTCACTCCCCACCAGGCCTGACCTGCTGGCCCAGGTGTGATAACTGGGCTTCTCCCACCTGGTTCCTGAGATCTGTCTCTGCTCCAGGCCCATTCTATTAGCTGGGTCTCTGTTTGAGTCACCCGCTCAGCCCAGAACTCAAGATTGGGGCCAGGTAGGGAGACTGAATGTTGCTGTCTAAACTCAAGGCCAAGCTGCACCAGGGATTGCCCACCATGGCTGGAGCTCCTCTGGGTCTGTCCCTGGGCCCTCTAGACGCAGGGGTCTTCTCCTCCTGGGCTGAGGCTGGTCTCAGGGTGGCTGCAGCCCCATGGGCCAAGCACATACTAGGTCTCAGGTCTTCTCCATAAACTGGAGATCATAGTGTCTTCCTCGCAGGGTTGTTGGGAGGATTAAATGAGATTCTACATGTAGCTGCTTAGTACAGAGTTTGTAAACTCTCGATAGATGTTAGCAATGATCATCATCATTATAAACAATATCACTATTCCTCTCGTGCCTTTTTATTCCCAAGTACAGAAGCCCCATGGTTTGTAATGTCTGGCTGGCCAGCCAGGTGTCATTCTCCACAACTGGCAGGCATCAGACATTTATAAATCAGAAAATTATACTGATTTTCATGTGTGCCTATACCATATCATACCCTGGATTTATTCTGCAAATTAAAAAAAAAAAAAGGAAAGGAAAACTTCCATTTGCCAGAACTTACAACAATGTTCCCCCAGGATGAGGTAGCATCTGACATTTAGGGCTGTGTGCTGAACGGTCACTTCCTGGGGCCGTGCATTTTCTGTCCCACTGACTCTGCTGTCTCAGACCTCAGCCCCCTGGAGTTCTCTGGCTACCTCCCAGCTGGGCTTCTGTGGGCCTTTGTGGACTTTCACCTCTGTCTCCCACCTTGGCTGGCCAGTTGGTTTCTCTTGGCCTCATCTCCTTCTCTCTCCTTTATTCGTTATCACGGCGCACCTTGTCATTACTTAGGGCTCTCTAAGAATGTTAATCCCTTACTGAGTGTTCATCATGTGCTAAGCACTTTGTATATTTTCTGGGAGATTGAACAGGTGGCACAGCCGAGATCTGCTAGGCAGTGGCTATGACTAGAGGCCTTGAATGGTGCCAGGTAGAAGAGTTGGGACCTCAACATGGGGCTTTCTCCTATCAGTTGTGTTGGTCATCTATTGCGGCATAACAGATTACCCCACGACATAGCATCTTAAAACAATAGTAAATATTTATTGTCTCGCATGGTTTCTGTGGGTCAGGGAATTAGGCATGGCTCAGCAGGGTGACTCTGGCTTGGCATTTCTCATAAGATTTCAATCAAGATGTTGGCTGGGACTACAGACTCATCTGAAGGCTTGACTGGAGCTGGAGGATCCACTTCTAAGATGGCTCACGCATGTGGCTGGCCAGTTAGTGCTGGTGGTTGGCAGAGGCCTCAGTTTCTTCCCTCCTTAGGGCTATTTGAGAGTCCTCACAACATGGTGGCTGCCTCCTCCTACAGCGATTGATCTGAGAATGTGTGAGGTAGAAACAGCAGGGTCTTTTTGCCCCAGCCTCAGAAATCACACATTGCCCCTTCACAATATCCTACTTGTTAGAAGTGAGTCACTCAGTTGGCCTACCTTCAAAGGAAGAGCAATCATGCTCCATCTTTTAAAGGAAGGTGTGTCAAAGAATTTGTAGGCGTATTTTAAAACCAAGATTGGTCCTCTGAGACACCTTCTCAAGGGCTCAGCACACAGTAGGGTCTCAGTAAATGCTGTTGCCTTAAGCACATGGGTGCTGAGACCAACCACAGAGGAGAAGAGCCCACCTCTCTGCCTTCCCTTCTAGGTGCATATTTCAGACTTAATAATCCTCTGTGATTTGGCTGGTATTTCCATGTCATTCTATTCCATTCTGCTGGCCCCAAGGATGCTGTGGGACTTGGGTGGGGGTGAGGGATATCCTGCCTCCACCGTGGGGCCAGTCCTCTAGGGCTGTGGTCCCCAACCCCTGAGGTCATGGCCCGGTACTAGTCTGTGGCATGTTAGGAACCGGGCCGAGCATTGCTGCCTGAGCTCCACTCCCCCCTCGCTGCCCCCACCCCCCAGGTCCATGGAAAAATTGTCTTCCATGAAACCTGTTCCTCATGCCAAAAGGGTTGGGAACTGCAGCTCTAGGGAATGCTCACTTCTTTCCTCTTCTCTAGCTGCACATAGCCGGAGCCAATGGCTACCTGCGGGCAGCTGAGCTCCTCCTGGACCACGGTGTGCGCGTGGACGTGAAGGACTGGGATGGCTGGGAGCCCCTGCACGCGGCTGCCTTTTGGGGACAGGTAATTCCCACCAACAGGGCTGCTGGGGAGGCCAGCACAAGGTTAACTGGCTGTCACCAAATCCTTTTGGCTGGTGATTGGTTCTAAAGAGTACAAGACCCGCTTAAGGTGTTGAGTACAGCTAGTATGTGGCATATGAAAAGGCCTAGGGAGTTTGCAAAAACATTTGACAAGTTCTGTCCTGATAGAATGATAATCAAATTTGCCAAATTAGCAAATTCCTAGCATTTCTGCTTTGAGTAATTTCTCCATTTGTTTCTAGATATGAAACTCTGATTGTAGTTTATGCAGTCCCTCCTAAGACACCTGAGCTCTAGAGTTACAGCTGACTCCTTCTTCTCCTCCCTCTTGGTATGGCTCAGGCATGTTGAGGAGGTGCCACACACATTGCATCTGCCAGGATTATCCCCATGGTTCCAGGGTGTGGGGACTTCCCTGGAAATCAACTTTGCCTCTCTGTTCTTTGGGTCACATCCTAAGAGGCCTTGGGCAGTTTCTCCATTTCCTGGGTTCTGTGAACCCTGGGCAGGGGAACATGATCTTCTTCCTGTGTTTCAGATGCAGATGGCAGAGCTTTTGGTGTCCCATGGGGCTAGTCTCAGTGCAAGGACATCCATGGATGAGATGCCAATAGGTGAGTCCAGCAAAACACCTGGTACACACATAAGCAGTCATCAATTTTTTTGATGGCTGGAAGGATAAATAGATGAATATTTGGTTGGCTAGATTGATGGATTGTTATGTAGATAGTTGGAGGAATGAGTAAATTAATGGGTGGTAGATTAATGGACAGGTGGACAGAGAGATGGATGGATAAATGGATGGATGAGTAGGGTAGATGGGTAGAAATGCCTAGCACTCTGGGAGGCCCAGACAGGAAGATCGCTTGAGGTCAGGAGTTCAAGACCAGTCTGAGCCAGAACGAGACCCCATCTCTACTAAAAATAAAAAAACTTAGCTGGGCATGGTGGTGCTTGCCTGAAGTCCCAGCTATTTGGGAGGCTGAGGCAGGAGGATCACTTGAGCCCAGGAGTTTGAGATTTGAGGTTGCTGTGAGTTAGGCTGGAGCCATGGCACTCTAACCTAGGAAACAAAGTGAGACTCTGTCTCAAAAAAAAAAGGTTAGAAATGATGATGTGTGGTTGAGTAGATGGATGGATAGATGAATAGATGAATAAGTGGATGGGTGGGTAGAGGATCAATCTATGGATAGATGACTTGGTAGACAGATGGAGGAAGGTGAATAGAATGGGTGTGGGACATATGGATTCCTCAGCATCTTCAAATAATTTCCTTCTTTGGCTACATGGGGTACCTGCTTATTTCCCTGAATACCTCTCATATCAGTGGAGACTCGATGACTCTTCTTGGAAGCTATCAAAGAGGAGTTCAAATCCCCTGGTCATAGCTGGGAACCTTAGGAGTTGTGACTGTGCGTGGAACCTGAGTGTCCCATTCTTACCATCCTCCAAGGACTGGGTTGCAGACCAGGAAATGAGGCTGGCATTGTTTTCTTTCCTCCCTGCCTGCCCCAAAAGATGCTTGGAGTTTTCAGTGGGTCGGGGTGGCATCTCTTCTGGTCTGGAGCACCCTCTTGGGCCACGGGCCTATACCCTGACCCTGGCTACTGATTCCTTTGCCCCTCAGACCTGTGTGAGGAGGAGGAGTTCAAGGTCCTGCTGCTGGAGCTGAAACACAAGCACGATGTGATCATGAAGTCACAGCTGAGGCACAAGTCGTCCTTGAGCCGGAGGACATCCAGCGCAGGCAGCCGTGGGTGAGTCAAGGGCAGGGCAGCCAGGGGTCCCCCGGGTGCTCTTGCCCATGGCACCTGGGCACAGCCTTCCAGCATCCCCTCTGTCCCCTCAGGAAGGTGGTGCGTCGAGCCAGCCTGTCAGACAGGACCAACCTGTACCGGAAGGAGTACGAGGGTGAGGCCATACTGTGGCAGCAGCGGAGTGCGGCCGAGGACCAGCGCACCTCGACCTACAACGGGGACATCCGGGAGACCAGGACAGATCAGGAGAATAAGGACCCGGTGAGTGGCCTCCTGCCCTGCCCCTGTGCCAGCCACTGCCTTGGGGGGAGGACGCCAGCCTGGCCTTGCCTCTTCATCTTGGAGCCTCCAGAGGAAAGTAGCTGCCCTTAAACCAGAGCATCTGGTCTGACGGTGGCGGCTACTGTAGTGAATGAGGCGACCCCGGGGCATGTTAGAGGCCCAGGTGGGGGGAGCGAGTGACCGCCATGTGCCCGCCTGTTCTGCAGCAGATCTAGCTGTGGGCTCCCCAGAAGAGAGGTTCAGTAGGGCTGTCACCCAGGAGCTGAGGGCACTAAACATTTTTTTTTCCAAGAAGTATAATAAGATGTTGAGAATTGTGTTTGTCAGAACACATATGGTTGGGAGGAGGTTTTGGAAAACCTGGGTAGGGTGCTGGTAGGACCTCTGAGAAGCCCGCTCCAGTAGCCACCAGCGGTCCTGGGCTTGAAACTGCTTTCCTGAGAGGATGCGTATTCATTTCCTGTGGCTGCTGTAACAAATGGTCACAAACCGGGTGGTTTGAAATAGCAGAAATTTATTCTGTCACAGTTTTGGAGGCCAAAAGTCTAAAATCAAGGTGACATCAGGGTTGGTTCCCTCTGGGGACTCTGAAGGGGAATCTGTCCCGTGCTTCTCTCCTAGCTCTGGTGACTCAGGCGTTCCTTGGCTTTTGCTAACATGACTCTCATCTCTGCCTTCATCTTCACGTGACTTTCTTCTGTGTGCATGTATCTGTGTCTCTGTTTTCTCTTTTTAAAAGGGCACCAGTCATTTGGATTAGGGCCCACACCAATCCAGTATGACCTCATCTTAATTTAACTTATTACCTCTACCTTTCCTCCCACCCCAAAGGTACCCACGATTTAACTTTGAGCACTTAAGACTAGTTTTGTATATGTGCATGCATGTGAATGGACCCGTGTTTGTTGGCTTTTGTGTCTGGCTTCTTTTATGTCTGTGAGAGTCACCTATGTCTTGGCATATAGCAGAAGTTTATTGTTTTTCATTGCTCTGTAGAATTCTATTGTTTGAATATTATAATTTACATCTCCATTCTCCTCTTGGTGGACATTTGGGTTGTTTCCAGTTTTTGACTACTATGAATAAAACTGCTATAAACATTTTTGCACATGTCGTTTAGTGGATATAGCCACTATTTTGTGTTGGGCATGTACCCAGGAATGTGGTGTGAATCACGGGGTAGCACACGTTTAGCTTTGGTGGATAGCACCAAGCAATCTTCCAAGGTGGTTGTACCTGTCTGCTTGACCATTGGCAGTACGGGAGCATTTCCAACCCCTAGTATAGTCTGTCCTCTTATTAATAACTGGAGCCATCCTGCAGGGGTTGCTATGGTAGCTCGCATCTTGAATTTGTATTTCCCTGAGGACGGATGATGTTCAACACCTTTTTACATGTGTATTGGCCATTTGGTTATCCTCTTTGGTGCGGCTGGCTCTTCTTTTGCCTTTTTTTGTTGGATTATTTTGTCCTTATTGATTTGTAGGAAAGACTGAGGTTCTTAAAGAAATCCTCATAGAAGCAGCCCCTACTCCTCCACACTTGATCTGACCCTGTGTTTGTTCAGATCTCACAGGCCCCAGGACTGCCCCAGAAGTGCTCATGGAGCCTCAGCAATCACGAAGACTGTAGGGCACAGGGCAAGGGCATATGGCTGCTGGAAGCCACCCTTAGTTATGTGTGATGTTGGTGGTGGTGGTGGTATTGTCAATTTCTAGGGCTTCCTCATCAAGGCTGCAGTTTGTTTGGGGTTAGGCGAGGCAAACAGATGGGCTACTTTGCCTCTGGCGCTGGGGAAAAGAAGAGAAGGAACCCAGGTGGCCTAGCCAGCAGTCACTCAGCAGTCGCCCAGCCCTGGAGGAACAAAGGAGGTCACAGGACACAGCTACAGAGCTCAAAACTCATTCCCTTTTCTCATCCCCCGCTTTCAAGGCTTTAGATGCTGGCAAGGTGCTCTCTAGGGCAGGAATTCTCAAAGTGTGGTCCCCGGACCAGCAGCATCAGCATCACCTGGGAACTTACTAGAAATGCAGATTCTCATACACATGTGGTGATTCTCATACACACAAGAATTTTTGAGCCACTTATGTACGGGAATATTTGTTCAGCCTGACTCCCAAACTGGATTTCTGCCAAGGCTCTGCCCTGTTAGCCCTCAGGCCTGACCTTGGTTCACACCTGTGGCAGAGCTGACTCCCTGGGACCGGGCACAGCAGTGATGACGGCCATCATCTCTTCAACCAGTGGTTCACAAATTCACCTGTACGGTGTAATCACCTGGGGAGATGTTGCTGTTGTTCTTGTTGTTTTTCAATGCTGATGTCTAGACTGCAGTCCAGACTGATTAAATCAGAATCTCAGGAGTTGGGACCTAGGCCCCGTGTGTGTGTGTGTGTGTGTGTGTGTGTGTGTGTGTAAGTCTAAAGAGAGACTTTATTTAAAATGATTGTAGCAGTAAGTAGAATGCTTCACCCTCAGAATTGGCAAGGATCTCGGAGTTCAGAAAGAAAGGAGTTTGTTTTCTAGGGAGGAGGACAGAGGCTGGAAGAACTGAGGGTGGCATGGGCGGGTGGTGTGATCATACAGTTGACCAGGAATGTGTGTCCCATGGTCAGCCCATTCCAGAAGGGTCTTCAGGAGAGTTGTTCTTCTCTGTGGGGCCTGTTTACCTGGAGGGATGAGTGCAGGTTCAGGGTCCTGTGGGGAGGAGGGCAGCTTGACTAAAGTTTTTGGTTAAGTCATTTAGCAGGCATTTTATTTCACTTGCTATGTGGGAAAAACAGTTCAGCTACTCGTTGGAGAGAAAAAGAATGAGAATTTGGAGGACTGTGTCTGGGTTGTCCTAGGCAAAGGAGGGGTCATCTGAGTGTTCTGGAAACCATAAGGGGAAGGGTGACTCTGTCCAGTGAGCCATTCCCCAGGACACAAATGGTGGGGAGGTTTCTTTAACCTTTCTGTTTTCTCAGGGCTTGTGTTAAGTTCAACATTGTCCAGACGATTGTGCTGACCACAGGGGGTGTTCTAGAATCAATTGTTTTCTTATTTGTATAGCTCAGCCCATAATTTGTGCCTAGGCAAATAAATACATCATGAGCAAAGCTCTCTTCCCTCTAACCCACACCCTTCATGCTGTGGTTATTCCTTTTCCTTCAGTGTTTTCATTTCTGACACTGAAGGTGGATATATGTGGGTTTCTTTTTTTTAACCAATAGACTTTATTTTTTTACTTTTTATTTTTTAAATTTTTTTGAGACAGAGCCTCACTCTGTCGCCCCAGCTAGAGTGCAGTGGCATCATTATAGTTTGCTGCAACCTCAAACTCCTGGACTCAAGCAATCTTCCTGCCTCAGCCTCCTGAGTAGCTGGGAACGCAGGTGCGCACCAGCACACCTGGCTAATTTTTTCTATTTTTAGTAGAGATGGGGTCTCGCTCTTAGAAGCTCAGGCTGGTCTTGAACTCCTGAACTCAAGCAATCCTCCTGCCTCGGCTTCCCAAAGTGCTAGGATTATAGGTGTGAGCCACTGTGCCTGGATTAGACTTTATTTTTTTGAGCAGTTTTAGATCTCTAGAAAAATGAGTGGAAAGTACAGACAGTTCCCATATACTTCCTCATTATGCTCCCCCCAGTCCCCCATTATTAACATCTTGCATTGGCATAGTGATGAGCCAATATTGACACATTATTATTACCAAAGCCCATAGTTTACATTAGGTTCACTCTTTACGTTGTGCAGTCTGTGGGTTTTGACAAATGCGTAATGTCAAGTAGCCATCGTAGTATTGCACAGAATACTTTCACTGCCTAAATATCTCTGGTGCTTTATGTGTTCTTCCTCCCAAACCCTGGCAAACACTGATCTTTTACTGTTGCCATAGTTTTGACTTTCCAGAATGTTATATAGTTGGAATCATATAATATGTGGTCTTTTCAGATTGGCATTGTTATATGTATTTTTAAATCCCTAGATGATTCCAACGTACATCCAAGCCGGGACCAGTGTCTCAGATCCTTCCCACTCAGAACACTGGCAGGAACTTGTTAGAAATGCTGAATTTCAGGCCCCAACCCAGGCCTACTGAAACAGAATATGCATTTTTAACAGATTCCCAGGTGACTCATAGGCACATTACAGATTGAGAAGCACTAACTTAGACCATCAAGAATCTCTCTTAGCCAGGCGCAGTGGCTTATGCCTATATCTCAGTGCTTTGGGAAGCCAAGGTGGGAGGATTGCTTGAGCCCAGGAGTTGGAGACTAGCCTGGGCAACATAGCAAGACCCTGTTGCTAAAAAAAAAAAAAAATTAACTGGACATGGTGGCATGTGCCTGTAGTCCTAGCTACTTGGGAGGAAGAGGCAGGCGGATGGCTTGAGCCCAGGATTTCGAGGTTTCAGTGAGCTATGATCACACCACTGTACTCCAGTCTGGGCTACAGAGTGAGACCCCCATCTCTTAAATATAAAAAAAAAAAAACAACAAGCCAGGTTGTGGTGGCTCACGACTGTAATCCCAGCACCGTGGGAGGCCAAGGTGGGAGGACTGCTTGAGGACAGGAGTTTGAGACCAGCCTGAGCAACATAGTGAGACCTGATCCTTATAAAAAATAAAAAAAATTATCCAGGCACAGGGGCATGTACCCCTACTACGAGGTACTCGGGAGGAGTTCGCAGCTGCAGTGAGCTATGATTGTGCTGCTGTACTCCAGCTTGCACAACAAAGCCAGACCCTGTCTCAAAAAACAGAATCTGTCTCCCCATGATATAGCTTCAGTCTGCCTGCATTGTTCAGAAGGAGCCATTTAAAAGAGAAGAGGAAGAAACGCACACATAAATGGAAACTTACTGTAGTTAATGTTCTTTGCCTTAACCATATTTTAACCTAAATATATATTTCTTGGAGTTCTTTTCATACCAGCATGTGTGGACTTCCTTCAAGCTTTTTACCAGCTGCCGAGCATTCCAATAGAAGTACTGGCCACAATTTCTCACTTGCCCAGTGACGACTTTCAGGCTTTGCATCCACGAGACAGTATATCTTTGAAACAAAGTCCTAGAAATGGGTTTGCTGGTGCGAAGTATATATTCTCTAAAAAAATTTTTTTTTGGGTGGATGAATAATGCAAAACTATCCTCCAAAGAAGTTGTGGCAGTTTACATTCTCATTTATTTCCCCACACACTTGCCAACACGGAGTAATAGCAAACTTTAAAAATATTTGTCAGTAGGATAGGTAAAAATGACATTTTGTTGTTTTAATTCTATGTCATTAATTATTAGTGAGATTGAATATTTTTCCGATGTTTAGATGCTATGTATATCTATATATTACTATGGGCTGCATGTTAGTGTCCTTTGCCTACTTTTTTCATTGGGTAGTTTGGCTTTTAAAAATTGACTTTTAAGTGCTCTTTATATGTTTAGAAAATGAGTCCCTTTTCTGTTATATATGTTGAAAATATTTTTCCGGTTTTTTCATGTGTCCCTTGACATTGTTTATGGTGATTTTTGGTATGGTTTGCATTTTTGTTATTGTAAGTGTATCTACTTTTTAGTTCATGGTTTCTCGACAGCAGCTACTTTTGAAGGTCTTGTTATCCAAGGATCATTGGGTATACAGGATTCTTGAGTGAGAATGTCCTTTGAAGCAGAGATATGCTGGGATTACGGAGGAAGGATTACAAGTGACTGAAAAACTCAACTAAAACTGACTTACTCCAAAAAGGAAATTATTGGCTCATGTAACTGAAAAGTCTGGGCCCACCTAGATCCAGGGGCTCACAATGCATCATCAGAACAGTCTCTCTCTTTTGGTCATCCTTAATGTCAGCTTCACTCATAAGTGGATCCTTTGATGTGGTGTCTCTCCAGCCTACAGTTTATATCATTCTTTTTTTTTTTTTTTTTTTTGAGGTGGAGTCCAGGGTCTTGCTCTGTTGCCCAGGCTGGAATGCAGTGGCGTGATCATAGCTCACAGCAGCCTCAAACTCTTGGGCTCAAGCAATCCTCCTGCCTCAACCTCCTAAGTAGCTGGGACTGCAGGCATACTATATCATTCTTCCTACTCAAAGTTATTGCCAAAATTTCTCTTTCCCAGTTGTTCTAGCAAAAGTCCCAGGGTCGAGTTTCACTGAACCTATTTCCGTTAAGAACCTGTCCCTGGGCCAATCCCTATAGTTGATTGGCCAGGCTTTGGGTCATGGTCCAGCCCCTGGCGCAAGGCTGGGGGTGGGTCAGCTCTACTGAAACACATAGACTGGTGATTCCCCAGAGGACATGAGGGGCCCTAACACCCAGGTAGGGAAAATGGATGGAGGGCAGGTCCGAACAATAATACCCTCAGCAGAGGTGCAGGTCGGTAGTAGGTTCAGATCCTCTAGCCAACTGGTAATGTTGTCCTTCTCACTCTCAGAACCCCAGGCTAGAGAAGCCTGTGCTGCTCTCCGAATTTCCTACCAAGATTCCACGAAGTGAACTGGACATGCCTGTTGAGAATGGCCTCCGAGCTCCAGTCAGCGCCTACCAGTATGCATTGTCCAATGGGGACATCTGGAAGGTGCATGAGGTGCCTGACTACAGCATGGCCTATGGCAACCCTGGTGTGGCCGACACCACCCCACCCTGGAGTGGCTACAAGGAGCAGAGCCCCCAGACGCTTCTGGAGCTGAAGCGGCAGCGGGCTGCAGCCAAGCTGCTCAGCCACCCCTTCCTGAGCACCCACCTGGGCAGCAGCATGGCCAGGACGGGCGAGAGTAGCAGTGAAGGCAAGGCCCCCTTGATCGGAGGCAGAACTTCACCGTACAGCAGCAATGGGACCTCGGTGTATTACACGGTCACCAGCGGAGATCCCCCGCTCTTAAAGTTCAAGGCCCCCATGGAGGAGATGGAGGAGAAGGTCCACGGCTGCTGCCGGATCTCCTAGTCTCCTTGTAACAGAGGAGAGAGATGCCCCGGGGAGGGGTCGCTGGAATCCAGGCCAGCCCAACAGCCTTGGCGGGGGAGGTGTCAGAGGGCAGCCGGGAGAGGTGGGCTCTGCTTTCCAGAGGAACGCTGACCCCAACCCTCACCCAGCTGCCTGCAGCTTCTCCTCTCCCCAGGTTCTGCTTCCTGCTGCATCGTCCACGTCTGACATAAGGCCCACCGTGACCTCCTGACTCACTCTGCTGTCCCAATTTGGGAGGGTGGGCTGGGGATCCCGGTTCTGTCATTGGTAAAGGCTTCTCTGGAATACTTGCACGTCACCTATCAACACACACACACACACACACACACACACACACACACGCACACACACGTGCTCACTCAGCGTGTGAAGGTATGACACACCTGGGCTCACGGGAAGCAGGTGGGGCTGAGAATGCACGGAGTGTTCCTAAAGAGATGGAGATTAAGACTCAGAGTCTCATCCACTGCCAGTGTGGCTTTAGCAGGGGAGGGGGCCTGCTAGGCTGAGACCCATTGTCCATCCCGGAGTCATACCAGGATCTGGGCCAGCAGCCGCATGTGGCAGGGGCAGGAAGCCCTCGCTGTGTTCACAGGGAGCCTGGACGTGGGTTAGATGAGATGGACACAGGCCTGCTCCCCACAGCCTTTTTGAGAGCCACCCTCCTGCCCACGCCAGGAGCCAGCTGTGTGGCCACTCAGGGGTCAAGGGGGAAAAGCAGGCTATTCCACTCCTGGAATAAACCATGTTTTACTTTTGGATGGAAGCATCAAAGGCAGGAATGAGGCGAAGTTAGTGTTTACAAAAGTGCACTTGATAAAAAAATTCTTTCAGGCTGTAAAACTCCAGGTGGGATGTAACTCAATCCACTTTCTTTTATGGCTAGTGTCAGGATTATTAGGTTTTACTGGCCAGTATTGGGAAAATGAAGCTAAATGAGGAGCTTTCACTGGAAGCTCTATTCCAGGGAGGAGGTGAGTTAATTTCTGAAAACCTCTCTGGTTAACAGTGACAGAGCCCAGCCCTGGCTGATCTTTGTGAATATCTAGGCTGTTTCAGCCCAGCCCATCTCAGCCAGCCGGCTCAGACTAAGCCATCAGAGTGAGCAGTTCAGGGCTGTCTGGGCTTCCCTGCCACATCAGTCATGCGTGGCGAGCCAGTGCTCAGGACCCCAGGCCCAGCTTGGCCTTTTCTGGAATGCTCAGTGAGGCAAGTCTGCCAGTTGGCCCTTGTGAGTCCCTGCCTGGCCCAGGGGCTCCCGGCCTGCTCCTGTCGGGAGCGGTGATACCCCAGGGCTGCAGATCCTGGGTGCCGGTGGTCACATCCTGTGTTGCGTTGAGTGCAGCAGTGGCAGGGCTGGAGTGGGGTCTCACCCAGCTCTGCAGTTCCACAGCCCCAGTCTTCCTGATGCTGGGGAGGGAGGCCCAGGAAGGGGCCAGGAAGGGCCAGCTGCCCTCCACCTCACCCCTGCATTCTCCCTAAGCCCATTTGGAATTGTTGCCATGCGTTGGGCACCTTTTGGTGTGACTAACAAGCTGCAGGTTTGCTCCCTGCTCTGTGCGCCTTTTCTTTGTCCTTAAACTACCTCCTTAGAGCGTCGAAGGGGCCCCCCAGGTCCAGCTTCTAATTTGGAGAACAGATCTGCATTCTCTTTAACCTGCTTCTTTCTGAGTCTGAGAAATTCTCCCCTATGGGCCCCTGGGCTAGGGGGCTAGGGCTGGGGAGCCCCCCTTGTGCCACGACCCTAGTAAGGGGGTCTGTTGTTTGCAGTCTCAGCCCCCTGCTGTGGCCCCCCTGGCCCCTGTAAGCTGGAGAGGGAACTGGACCTCAAGGGGCCTGGCTCATGCTCTCCCAGGAGCAGGGCAGTTGGGCCCGAGAGCACAGGACTCATGGGAGTGACTGCGCCCCTGGTGGCCGCTGGATGCAGAGGGAGTCTCAGCACGAGGCCACCCCCACCCCTACACCAGGACGGAGGTAGTGTAGACAGGCAGCTCAGGAGACTGAAGACAGGTGTATACGATTCCTCCCACGTCTCTGGGGTCCGGGGTGGGCTTTCCAGCATCTCAGCCTATGTGATCTAAAACACACATACCTTTGGCTGAAGGCAGGATCAACCCAGACTGACACTGAAGTCTCTCGTGACCTGACCTTAGCTACCAGGTAGGGAGTGCCAAGGGAAGCCACACGCTCCTCAGGAGAGGCAGGTTTTCCCATCTTTTTGCTCAGGGACCAGACACTGAAGGCATTTATTGCCCACCCTGAGCCCTAGAGGCCATTCCCTTCTTCCGCCTTGCGTCCTGCCCCTGGGCCAGTTCTCCCCACCCGGAAGACCAGGAATCCCAGCTGCTTCCTTGACAGGAGCCGACTCCAGCTCATGTTTTCAGCCAGGGATAAACCATTCCCTGTCAGGGCTTTGAGTCCCTGGGGAGCTTTTCTTGTGGGTTTCTTGGGTATTGAGGGGCAAGTCGGGGACCAACCTCCAATGAATGAGCCGGGGTCATTCATTTATTCACTCCTGTCATTTATTGAGTACACACGACATCCCTGGCTCTGTGTTAGGTTCTGCGGGTGAAGGAGGAGCAAGACAGAGTGAGGAGGACTGTTCTTTATGGTTTTCATCCCTGGGGGACTGTGGCATGAGCAGCCCCACTCAGGTCACCTGAGGCAGAGGACCCGCAGCCCAGGCCAGCAGCCCTGTGCTCTTCAGTTCCTAGATGCTTGGTTCTGAATCCCCTTATCTGGGAGCAGTTGTTATGGCTCCCTCTGGATAACATTTGCCACTCACTGCAGATGCCAGATCTCGGGCTCCAGGCAGACACCATCCCAAGTCCATTTGGAACTTTCCAGGGTAGCTACCTTCAGCCAGCATCTTTGGGGGACTGCATAATAGCAGTTTGGGGTCAGTGTCTTGAAGAGTGGGTCTGCAGTTTGCTGCCAAATGCATCTCAGGTTCTTACAGTCATTGTTTCTTGCTCACTTTTGCTCATTTATTACATAGACCCCCCCCACCTCACCCCAGTAGTGGATAATGGGAGGACAAGGAGCTTCTTTCAACATCGAGGCCTTTCCTCTGCCTCTCTCCGTGGCAGGGGCGGATCAGGGAGTTGGAGGCAGCCTGGCGAAGTGAATCAGAGGCCTGGCCTCTGCAGGTCTTGTGGCAGCTCCTCATAGACTAAAAGAGGCCACTTCCAAAGCAGGTGCGCACAGCTCACTGGGAGCACTGGCTCTTGCTCAGACCTTATGTCCCAAACAATTGAAAATTGGTGGCTGTCAAAAGATTGTGAGTTTCTGACCAGAGGCTCGGGGAAGCTGAATGAACCGTAGGCCCAGGGCTACTGAAGACTTCAGGATATTATTCGCCATCAAATATGCAGCATCAGTAAAACTGCTCCACACTGGTCACTTTCAAGGGGCTTAGAAGAGTTAACAAGGGTGTGTCCCCTTTCCTGCCCCACCACAGTGTGCTGGCTTTGTAATATCATGAGACGATTAGGGTTATTGGTGTTAGATACCTTTCAATCCTGAGCTCTCTCTCCCACCTGCTCTCTCCCCTAGAGCAGGATATTGGGGTACTTTCCAGAAGGGTGCTCCTTACAAGATGCCCAGAAGGACTGTAATTAAGGCTTGCTATTGTTCCCTGGGGATAGGCTCCCCTCCCCCAAGGCACATAAGAGCAAAGGGTCACATGGTCAGTGGATGACTCTGCAGAAGTGACCCCCTTTGCCAGAAGCTATAGACCTCTCCCCACAGGAATCTCTTACTGGCCAGAGGGCCTGCTTCCCCATGGGCATTGCAAGTGCCACCGTGCGGGGCCTGGCTCTGCGCACCCAGGAAAATCTGCAGACCCCCAGCCTTCCGCAATAACTCACCAGACCAGAAGCCACTGATGTACAGAGAACACTTAAGAAAAATGTATTTTATGTGAAAAAAAGTTAAAAAAAAACTCTGTATACTGTATCAGCAGCTTTGTGTAAAAATGGCAATCAAGAGAGTCTAATATATTTAAAACTTTTTTTAAAAAAAAAATCCTTGCGGATCTTTGATATTGTATTAAAGTAACTTCCAGGTACCTCCTCTCCTTGTGGCCAAGACCATGGCTCAGCCACATCCCAGAGGGGCACATGTCCCTGGAGTTGCTCCCAGCTGCCAAGGCCTGTGATGGAATTCGCTGTTAAGAGTTTTTAATTAAGATTATTAAATTCCTTTTAATAACACCTGCTAGTGTGACTGGTTATTGCCGTGAGCTCACTTGAGCGGTGCCGACTTGAATTCATGAAGAGGTGATGCCTGGGACTGAGGGTGGGTGAGGGCTCCCGGCCCCTGCTCCCATCACAGAGGGCTCTCCTGGGAGGCCCCTGAAGTAGAGGGAGGTCTGGGGGCTCAGACAGAGCAGCTGTCTTTCTAGACTGGGAGATGGTAAAAAACTGGTGGGTGGTTGGGAATGACCTTCCTTCTGTCAAATATTCCCTTTGAAATTAACATGAGGCCCTGTAATAGCATATATTAATTCCCTACATTTTCAAAGTTTTTCCTGATGACATTTATGTGTAACAAGGCTGCTCCTCTCCTCTGTTCCATTCTTGGAGAGCACTGGCCTGTCCTGTCCCCTTCCTCTGCCCCCCTTGTCCTCCCCTTCATGTAGCTTACAGTGAGGAAGTATAATACTGTGTAGTACTTCGCCTTATTACAATGACACAGGCAGGGCCCTGGCTATTCTCATGTTTTACCTCAAGCAATAGAGGCATAGAACAGCTATGTGGTTGCACAGCCCCAGACCACGGTCCTTGTCCTTGTCACACGCAGAAGTTTTTTGGTATCTTGAAAGAGTATGGAAAGGGCGCTTTCTTGTAGTCTGCTGGACTCTGGATGCCAGAGCAGGGACACATGGAAGGCCCCATACCTGGGCTTGAAAAACTTCACAAACAGCCTGAGGATGCTGAGGGTGTGGAAAGACAGGGAGAAGTGTCCTAACGGCGTCCGGCATTCATCCATTTTAGAAGTTTATTGGCTGCTAAATAATAATGGTAACCTCTTACATTTATGAAGCACTTTACAGTTGTACATATGCTCTCTCCTTTACACAAAGATGAGGCCTGAATA